AGTGTTGAAATTGTAAAGATATCAAAAGGTACACAAGCCTAGTCAGTTTTAATAATGGTGAAGTCTGTAGGCTTGTTTGTGATGCAGATAGATGAGTAAGAGAATATGGGGAACGTAGCTAAAAGATAAAACCAAGCCGGCTTATTGGAGTGGTATGGCCAAGGTAGGGTACGCCACTACTCAATTTCCTTATGGCTTTACTCTCTCTCCTATTCCTAGATGGTACACCTACATGATTTTCAGTTAAAGCAGAATCCTGTAGGTCAACATCCTTCATAGCCTCTCCTGGCAAGCGGCTGGCAAAAATTACGATTTCTATCAATATTATCTACCTGGTATCTTAACTGTTTAGCATTGCAAAGCTCGAATATCTTAAAATAATTTCATTAGTAGCAACGTACAATGTGGTCACCTTGCTTTAAATGTCTACTTTAAATGTTTCCTGATAATCCCTAGTCTTGACTAATGTGCTCGAATTCGTTTGCTTTTTATCATGTTTAGTCCTTGCCTATTAAGAAGGTCTAACAGATATCTTATCAGCCACTGCTTTTATTTAAAATAGCTGTCAGTGATAGGAATGCCGGACAAGGTTACCATGATCTGATTTTTATCCTTACCAAAGAATTCAAATTTATAAGGTTTGCTTGCATCTTAAAAATATGGAAATTATGGAGAAAATCCTGCTCTATATGTTCCACATCGGCATATATATACCGAGATTTAATCCTTAGACGTGTGATACAGGGGACACGACTTAAGATTTATTGACATGATAAATGTATTTCTGAGGTTGCATAGATTATAATCGTGCACGGAGAAGGAGCACAAGTTGAATACATGAAGAAAAGCTGGGTTATGAATGATCAGTTAGTAGATTAATGCTGGCATGCCTTCCATTCCGTTCTAAAATGCGGGTAGAAGGAATTCGTAAATGAGTATCACCTGAAGCCGAATGAGGATTGCCTTAAACTTGTGAATGATTGATTGTGCGAAGAAAACATCGGCTCATCGTTCTGTGACTCAGACACATCAATGCAGATATTTCGTCCATCATATGACAAAGATTTTTAGAGCCCAAATCTGGTATTTACGAGCAACCACCAAAAACACTAAACCAAGAAGGGTGGCCGGCTTCTTATAGCTCACTTGTTAAGCTTAATGAGGTATTCCATGATTTCGGATGTAGAAAAATTGAGTGTCGAAAATTCTCTTAGCAAATTAATGTTGGAGTACCTTCCATTTTGTTTGAAGAGGCTAATGGAAGAGATTAATAAGTTGGCCTCACCGGAAGCTGAATGAGGATTTCTTTGGAGCTTTTACTGTAAATTTGTGCAAATATCTCATCGGCGCACCACCCTGCGGTTCAAATAAATCCTTGCTGAGCTTTCTTCCGTCATGTGATGGACATCGTCAGAGCAGGAAACCACGCTTAACAATAATTCACAAAAACACGCGGACATAAAAGGTCAGCTTTAAACCTACTTACTTCCTATAATCCTATTTGCTCCAGTTATTTAGGCATCTCATGCTTTGTTTGGATATCCTATGCTTTGCCTAAATATTTGCAGAAAAGTTAAGTTAAGTGTTTGTGGATGACATGTTAAGTGGCTGCGGATGAAGCGTTAAACAGATGCAATTGTGACTGGGCAGTTACATCCTCCTCTAAAGCACTTATAACTTTGATCCTTGGTGTTATCGCATTTGATTGCATTCCATTGCAGGCGTTCTTTGTCAATGTATTGCTTTTGAAACAGGTAAGATGTGAGTGTCAAAACCAGATACGAATCTAATCAAGTCCCCTCTTCTTGCTAGGTGGTGCTTCTCGTCATCTCTCTCTTTCTCTGATCCTATCCAACAACCACAAATAGTTTTCACTTAATTTCCTACACTCATCACTTATACTAATGGTGCTGGCTTCCCTAATCTTTCGCTTACTGGTATAGTCCCCATATCATGTTGAGTGTTAGTTATTAGACAAGTCTAGCGCACCAGATAGACTGATCTAATACCAAACTCTTAGCAGGATATGGGACTATACCGGTAGACGAAAGTTTAGGAAGCAATAGAAATCTACTCAACAACCAACACAACCGCTAACACCCTAAATCGAATGAATGTAGTAAGTTAAGTGGAAACTACTCGTGGCTGTTGGATAGGATTAAAGATAGACAGGCAGAACGTGAAGTACCACCGAGCAAGATAGGAGGTTCGATTATATTAAAATCTGGTTTTGATATTCACATCACCAAGTTAGTGGATTTGAAGCCGGACATCTTTCATGTCCTCGTAATTTGGTGAATTATCGTTTAGCATGGTGTCCTGCTCTGACGATGTCCGTCACATGGTGGACAGAAGCTCAGCAAGGATTCACTGGAGCTGATGGCTTATTCGAACAAATCTACAGTCATAGTCCAAGGCAACTTCCCTACAGCTTTAAGTGAGATCAACTTACGAAGCCCTTCAACTCGCCACTTCAAACAAAATAAAAGGTATCGAACACCAACATTTTAAAGGATTCTTCGAAACCCAGTCTATTCACATACCTAAAATAAAACAATTTTGCCTAGCAAGCGAAAGACCTAATGTGAATTATAAGTGTTAAGGAAGAATAAAGGCTTGATAATATGTTGTAAAAATTAGAAATACGTGATAAATAAAAATAAAAATGTAATAAATACACTGATAAACCTTTTTTTGGTTGATACAATTGCTAGGTCCATACAGATAAAATGTTTGTTCACGGCCACAGTGACTGAATGGATACCAGTTATATCAGACAATACGCCAATCACTTGACGCCTCTATTGCGGAAAATTATTAAGTCCCCATTTTATCACAAGATTTCTTATTAGTTACACATTTGAAAAACGTTGAATATAAGGATTTATGCATCATTTACGTCAACTAAATTAATACTTTGGGGCGCTTTATTCGAGTCCATCTCTTAATTATCTTACCGTCATGTCTAATCATTCTAGTTCCTGTGATGACGATTTTTTTAATGCCTGTGAAAATGAGCCAGATTATAAAGAACATCCTGATTTTCATTCACCTGAGGGGGATATGGAAGACTTAGGTAGACAATTTCGCGATAGATTTGACGCAAGTGATTCTGACGCGGAATCTGATCTACACAAGAACTTTAAGGATCCACAAGAGCCTTCTTACGCTTGTGCGGATAATTTCCCAGAACCAAATATAAAGGATATGAACAAGGAAACTTTGCTAGTTAGGCAAAACGAAGAAGAAAAATTAACTGATAATGCGAAAGAGGTAAGTATACATATATCTGTATAGGCTGAAAAGAAACGAAGGCTCCAGTCTCTTGAACTAAAAGAGAAAGGAAATGATCTTTACAAGGAGTCACAATTTGCGGATGCCATTAATAAGTATACTTCTGCTCTTGATATTTGCCCTCTCTTGTTCAAAAAAGATAGGTCGCAAATGCTTTCCAACCGCGCTGCATGTAATATAAAACTGGTACCGTTATTTTAATTCCTGTATATACCCCTTTAGAAAAATGTCCAGCTTGCTCTAGCTGACTGTGATGAAGCTCTAGAATTGGACCCAACTTACGTCAAATGCCTGCAAAGAAGAGCAGAGCTAAGGGAATCTGTAGATAGGCTGTCAGAAGCTTACGAAGATTATCAAGAGCTTTTAAAAATTGATCCAGGAAACGGAAAAGCGAGAGTGGCCTGTGCTGTGAGTTGAACTATTTTAATCCCTTCATGCTTCCGTTTAAATTAGTCATTTACTCTACAAAATGCTGATTAATTTGCATATTGGTTCTAAAATTGGTTAGTGTCTAATCCTACAATATCATTTGATGAAATTTTACGGCCCCGCACTATCAGTTAGTATCAACTAGTACAGCACCCTGTATTATTCATTTATTTGTTTGTATTTTCAAATTTGTCCTTTTCCATCTCTATATCTCGATTGCTCTATACAGTGTCCTATGTGAATTTCTCAGACCAGTTAGCATGATCGAAGGTGTGCTGCGGCTTTTAGTATGAGTATGTACACAAATTGTTTTCGCAACTTTGCCAGGAGTCCATGGTATTCATGGTAATTTCCAGTCGGACCGTGTGATTTGTATATTCCCAGGCATTTCACCGCCATTCTCAACTAGACGGTTCTGGTGTTTATTGTCCTGATGCATTCACCTGTCCTATTTCCTCACATCATTCTAGTTAAAGTGTGCTTTTTTGAGCGATTTTAGCTATACCTCTTCACACTTCCCGCTAGTTCCCTCTTCCCACCCATGCCGTACAGGATACTGAATCACTAAATCCGCTCAAAGTAGCATATCTAAACTGCGTTTAAATAGGCAAATGAGTAATTGTTGTAGTGCAAGTATAATACGAGGATATATATGGATGAGTACACCAGGATATAGATGCCAAAACTTCACTTGTCTCTGACACGTAGCGTGGTACTGACTGACTAACGATGACGACGAAATGTCTGGGGATGTACAAACTATGCGGTTCGACTTTTAAAATTGTCATGGGTAATATGGACTCCGGGCAAGATGTACTCCTCAAGGCTTCCATGACATTACGACGGCTGAACAACTTCCACTCAACATGATTGTGATATGCAAAGCCCAGTGCATACTACACCTACTGTCGTTCAGGACAGTTGATCCTAACTTGCTGTTACACCCTGCCAGACTTCCTGCAGCCCCTTGCTCCCAACATCTATTTGCATAGGATATTTCAAACGTGCTTCGCAGCTTTACTTAAAGCAATTATAATGATGCGACCCACCACATTAGCAAATACCTCTGGTGAATCATTTATCGCTTACATTACTTTAAACCCTCTATGCTTCTACCCAAAATTTGTAACGGCTCGAGTTAGTGCGTGCAAAGGACCAGGCCTCGGGTGACCAGCTTCCCTGCCGTGGATGCTAACCAACGAAAGACTAATTCGCTAATTTTAGACTAGCACTCGGCC